CAAACTATCAAGCAGATACTTTTAGGCATATTGTAAAGAACTACATGGCGTTTTAGTCGATGCGGCACGCTTAGGAGCGGCTTCGTCCACGCCAACCACATGCGCCTTCTCTCACCTCCGGTCTTCTTGACTTGGTCATAAAACCGAGCCTATGTAGGAGAAGGAGCGAGTGCGGTAGATGCATCGCAAGTCAGCTACTATTCCTGTTTCACCTTACCGTGGACGAACCACACGGTGGCACTCATAGGATGACACAGTCAAAATGTGATATGGCTTTTTATTCGCTGCACTGGGTCACATAAAGCGCTCAAAACATACGCCGGGCGAACGCCAAGGAAGTTGCCAACTCACCTTCTGCCGGCCTTAAGTTGGTTGAGCACATATTGAAGAATGCCAGAGAGATCAAACTGGTATTTTTTACAGAGAAGACCCGTGAAACTGGACAGAGCTGAAGGTGAATGAAAAAAAAGTTGTTAGGAAGGTCTGGAAAAGCACGAGCTAGATAAGGTGCTGATGAACCTGACGATTATCCCATCAAATGTACGGCTGCTCCCAGATTTATGAAATAACGGACAAAACACTCCCGCCGATGCTGTTTCATTGACCTAATACGGCAGCGTTTTTTGAAGAGGGAAAGCCAAGTTATTAGGTGTTTGAAGCCAGCAAAGGAGGGGGGGGGGCTATTAGTGGTGCATAAAGAGACAGTGTGTCGACTCCCACCTTGTAGGCTTTGGCTCTTCTGCAGATCGTCGAGTTTGGACCTGTCCGACGCCAACGCCTCGATCAAGCAGACTAGGAAAGAAAAAGACCAAAATGAGTCAAAAGACAGGTTGCCAGGGCGTTTCAATAAACAAAAGAGTGCGTTGGACAAAAGCGGACTCACATGCAAGTACATCGTAGCCCAGACTGCTGACATACTTCAGGGCGTCCACAACAGGGCCAATGAGATTAGTGAACATCTGGATGGACTGTAGGACCTGGAAAAAAGTATACGTCGGGGCGGTTAGACACATAGCTAACGGGCAGAGGGGGTAGGAGATAGACTTCATTTTTGAGAGTCAGCAAACTCACATAGTCAAACAGGACTCCCGGATTGCTGTGCGACAGTTTGCCAAGGTGACGGCCCAGCTGTTTCACATTCTCCTTACTCAGGCGCCTAGAAAGTAACAGGGAAAAGGTGAAGGTGTGGGGGGTGGAGGGGAGGGGGCCAACAGCTTCGGCACTCATCCATAATTTACTGTTCGGTCATTGCCTCCAGTAAACAACAGTCAGTCAGTCTGGTTGTGTTCTAAATCACTCACCTGCATACTATCTAGCTGCCGAAACGACTTGACACTAGCTGGTCGTATTTTCTTACTGGGTCAAATAAGAAAGTAATAAAGCAACATCAGTCAACGCCAGCTGGATGGAAATAAACGTGCGTAAGTCTACAATCACGGTGGTTCAACTTCGGAACAAGATGCGATGAGAGTTGCTGGTGATAAAATGATGTCAGGGAGCATTTCGAAAATAGGGAGCGCCAACAGTGAAGAAGTTTTTAATTGGGGATTCGTCTTTTTGTGACATTGGATAATGGGGACACTTGCTCAATGGGTCAAAATGTTTGAACCTACTACGGAAGGATTAACTAGAAGTCACTTTACGGAACCAATTAGAGATAAAGCTAGCGGAGAGACCCATAGTATTTTTTCACCGTCACTTAACAACTAACTGAGAGAGGGAGACAGGTGACCAAAGGTAAAAGGCAAGGATTAGGCATACGGCTCCCTAAACAGGACATGAGCACAGAAATCTGCAGCCATACAAGTGGCTTTGCGTCACATTAAGGTTGGGGTTCAGGGTTAAGGTTAGTGCAAATTGTACTTTTATGGATGTTGTAACTTACCATACTAACGACCCAGGTACTATGGCCCAGACACGTGTTTCGTCGGTATTCTGCCACTGCTTGACACAGCTGTGAGGGGTCCGGCTCATTAGTGGGTGCCACACCTTTGCCTGTTTGCTTTCTGGTTGATATACCGGTTTTGAAAGTACAGCTTTTTAATTCCCTTAGAAATTAATTTATGATCGCGGTATGCATCAGTATACTTAAAGTCTGTAGGCATAGACATAGTAGCACCTGGGTTGTTAGTATGGTAAGCTACAACACCAGCATATACTACTAATGTCTGTCCGTTGGCAGCAAGTGTATATTACGCAGTGGTTGACGGGTTTCAGCCTAAATATCCACTTAAAATGTCAGTCTATACCTATAGACTTCAAATATACTGATGTATACCGCGATCAGAAATTAATTTCCAAGGAGATTAAAAAGCTGTACTTTTATGGTTTAAGGTGGGAGTCGGGTCAAAATTAAGGTCATGGTTTAGGTTTATGTTAGGACTTAGGACACAGGAATGTTTAGCCTTCCTGGACATACGTACCAGGCCAATTTATTACTCGGGTTGGAAAGTCACTTCAAAGTTCTGTTTAGGGGTGGGGCATTTAAAGAAACCTAGGCAACTATAAGGCTCTAAAACAGATGACTGGATCGGGGATACAAAGACGTCAGCAGAAACGGCCTTCATCATGCGTGCCCGCGGGCACCTCAAATGCAGTGGTAGCTACCAGTCTATGGCAGTTGGAATAGCTGAGAGAACTCAAGGCAGCTACTCAAGCAAGGACGTGTCGGTGTGCCGCGATGCAAACAACCTGAAGAGGAGTCATGTGGAAAATAGGAGGGAGAAGTGAATTAGCGCAGAAGGCACATAAATGGGTCAGTACAGTGACTGACATTCACATACTTCATGATTGCCTTAGTTCGTAGGAGGATGAGCGTCCGCTTTCTCAGTAGAACCGGTTCGCCCTGGCAGCTGAGATGTTTCCATTGGCCATAAAGGCGATACCTGAAGAAGTAAAAGGGGGAAGGGCGTATTAGTTCCAAGTGTCATTGCTATTAATCAAGTCTAAATGCGGCGGCCACGTCGACCGACAGTACGCCCGCATAAGGCCTAGACACTCCAAG